GTCATAATCTGTTTGAATCTGTTGAAGGGACGCTCAGCTGACAGCGGGGGACTTAGAGGGAAATTTGCTCTAGTGAAATGGCTTTGCTGCTGTGAGCATGATAGCTGCAGATATTTTCAAACAGCTGCAAGCCAAATGTGCCCTTTTTTTGGACTGCACACAGGGGAGAAAAAAAGATTCATTTTTTCAGTTCTCATATTTCCTTAAATGGTGAGATGAAGATGTGTGAAATGTTAAATGAAAAATATCCACCAATTTGCAACCGTTTTTACAAATTTTCAGGTTATGCTATTTTTTTTTCAGTTAAAGATGTGATTATAATCTGTGTATGAAATTAAAAGCAGATAGAAATCTGAGAAATTAGAAAAATGTATCCTAAGTTTGAATTTGATACTTTCCCAAAAGTCTGTACAGGGGCTGACAACCAATACATTTCCGTATGTTAAAAAGACACCTGGTACAACATCTCACTTTCAGTTAGCTTATTAGATGAACAGGTTACATGAATGTTTATAAAAAGCATCCCAGAGAGGCTGAATTTGTCTAAAGTAAAGATGGGGAAGGGTTCAGACACTTAGGTTTCTAGTGGTTCTCATTTGTGATACGTAATGTTATCTAAAGTTTCAGAGAACCCAAAGAAACCCAGGGAAAAGGCTGTAAACCAAGAGTGAATCTTTGGGCCCTCAGACAGAACTGGGTTAAACATAAACATGATTCTGCAATGGAAATTAGTGTGTGAGCACAGGAACACTTCTAAAAACCACTGAGTGTAAACACAGCGTGTTTGTTTCAATAAATAGAAGTTACAACTCTACCATGCAATTACATAAAAACCAGCTGCTGTCCCTTGTCCATAGATCAGTTAAAATGGGCTAAGCTGAGGTGAAAAACGTATGTGGTGTGTGGTCCTTTAATGGTATATTATTCACAATAACTATTACCATCACCATCACTGATTGTGACCTACACCGGTTTTCACACCTTGGCTCGTGTGATTAGGTAGAGGATCATTAGGAGGTCCATTGTCCCTCTTAGGGGGACACTCCCACAGGGCTTAAATCTCCACCATTTGACCCTAGAACTGAAGAAGCTTCTTGGATGAGAGGTGTAACATCTTCAAGAAAACTTAAAGAAGTTTTCTTGAAGAAAACGCACACATTCACCAGTGTGTGAATGTGTGCATGAATGGGTGAATGACTGGATATGTAAAGCGCTTTGGGGTCCTTAGGGACTAGTAAAGCGCTATATAAATACAGGCCATTTACCATTTAAGTCAGGAAGCTTTTCTTTCCAAGAAAAGAGAACCTGAGAACCTTCTCAGACATTTTTCTTTCCAAGCGCTTTAGAGTACCATGACCTGGATGATTGAGAACCTTCACAGACACAATAACTATTAAAAACATGAAGAAAGAAGAGATCTAATACCGAAGAAAAAGACTGGGAAGCGAAATTTTGCTTTTAAAAATAAACCAGCTGATCTCCACAGTTATGAAGAACAGAGGTTTCTAAAAAGAGGTGATGCAGCAAAATTGTAAACATGCCCCTGCACTTTAAAAAATGCACGTTTTTTCAAACAATAGCATTTCTCAGTACTGTTTGTGAAGGCTCAAACACTGCCGCCCCAATATGACAAGTGGTAGCACTTTTAAAATCAGCCTTATGTGTTTTTGTGTGTATTTAATTTACTGATCAATTAAGAAATGGAATAGTTGAGTTAAAATAAGAAGAGCAATTCACAGAAAAAACAAAACAAACAAACAAAAAACATTCCTATTTTCTTACAAATTGGAACAAATATGTCAAAAACAAAATAAAAATCAGGCTATCAACTGATTTGTTAGCAAAACTAAATTGTGATCTCTGTTTGATTTCATTACAGTACCTTACTTGTGGTACTTAGGCTATTTAGAAGTAGAATGGGTAGCAGAGCCTTCAGCTGCCTGACCCCTCTTCTGTAAAGCCAGCTCCCAGTTTGGATTCACACTGGATCAGGTGACCCTGAACCCTCCATTAGCTTTGTTCCAATAGCTCTAGACTGCTGGAGTATTTCATCTTCACTCGTCTTTTTTCACTCACTATGTGTTTATACTCTGTGTGTTTAATTAGTTTTTATTCATTTCTAGCTCTCTTTCACAATGTAGGATTCTTCCCATCAAAGAAGAGTTTTTCCTTCCTACTGTCGCCAACTGCATGCTTATGGGGGACCCTTGGAGTTTTCTCCATGTCATTGTAGGATCTTTGCCTTACAATATAAAGTGCCTTGCAGTGTGTGCTTTGTATGGATTTTGAATGAACAAATGTGTGACCACAGATTGCGTTTTGGCAATTACATGGTAGTAATATGTGTAATTTTTTATTTACTGTGATTTGTGATGAATAAGTTGTCACTTCAGTCTAAACCTATAAAATCTGTCAAAAATATTTTATTTAAATGTCAGTTTTATTACGATCCTGCATTGTAAGTCATCTTGATGAACAAAAACTCAAGTCTCTCTTTCTGCTGTAATCAGTGTTGCACAAAAATACGTGAAACAAGACCTTTTCTTCAACCCCAACCTACACATCCTCCAACACTATCAGAAGCAGCTTGTCTTTAGCTTCCTTGTGGCAGAAGGAATTTGCATCAATGGCCACATAACATGCAATGGCATGTAATGTCCCCACAGCTCGGTAGTAGATGCCAGTGGCACTGTGATGTACGTTCAATTTCTCTGCTGAGGATGATGTGAGGTGACAGTGGATTTGGTCAGGATTGGTGTGACATGCACTCTTTGAGCAGGGGCCCATCTTCCATAAAAGCAGCAACAAATAACATTTCCTCTTTGCTCTGCACCTGCTGACGAATCTAAAGACTCTTTTTTTTCTGTCAAACACAGAAAGCTCAATGCAGTGCATGTGAACTTGCAGGAAAACTCTCTGGTTAGAAAAGGGAACATGAAATCAGATGGATTATAAAAAGAATCCAAATTGGGGTTATGGATAAACAATATGCAACAGTTAATGGAAATTGGCGGCGAAATAGTGTCCTGATAGACTTCCTATTTTAAACAATCTGTTCTTCTGTAGCTTGAATTTGCTTCATTTTTCATGCAAATTATTCTGTAAAAGTGTATAAATCGTGTCACTCTTCATGTTGTACACAGCAGAGGTGGGACCAAGTCATTGTTTTGCAAGTCTCAAGTAAGTCTCAAGTCTTTATCCTCAAGTCTCAAGTCAAGTCTCAAGTAATGTCAGGCAAGTCAGAGTCGAGTCTCAAGTCACTGGTGTAAAAGTCCGAGTCAAGTCACAAGTCTGAAACTTTGAATTTCAAGTCCTTTCGAGTCTTTAAAAAAAAAAAAAAACGAAAAAAAGCATGTTGCAGTTATATGCTAAATGTAAATATTAGACCATGTAATTTTAAAATCTGTGTTTTTCTCAACACATGACAAAATAGTGAACGTAGAAAATATACACAAATTGTGAAATTGCACCTCTTTAAAATGCAGCTCAATTAAACCTAGCTCCAAGAATAATTTTCACTGATAGTTCTGAGATAAGCTGCATGTTATTCTTGGATGCGGTTGTAGGACTGGCTTTAAAATCGCATGACAAAAATATCATACACATTTAAAAAAAACTGCATCACCAACGTAGCCTGGAAAACATTTGCTAGTTAGATGAAGTCAGCTATCTCATCTTAGCATATTTATATGCATATTTATAATCATACGGTTCTTGGAGTGAGTGCACACACTCATGAAGTTTAGTAACTTCAGGTCACTGCAACAAGCCCAGGTACAGTTTACCGACGGATGGGTGCAGGACCTTGAAATGCACCGTGTAGAACGAAAGACCATCGTACGTATCATAAGTTTACCAGTCTCACAAATCGTCGTCATAAATACACATTCGTTAACCGTTTATTAATAGGACCTTTGAGCTCAACGGTAATTAATTAGTAGTGGAAATAATTTCTGGTACGCGTTACAGAAATGTAGCAGTGACAACAATATTGTATGCTGTAATCGTACTGGGCAATTAGTGATACAAAAAACCTGTTTTATCCTGTGAATAAAAGTATATGTTTCAGGGAAGTCTGCCTTTCTAAATCTATAAAGCAACAAATCCTTCAAACACCCTGGTGCATTTGACAGTGTTATCTGCAGTGTAAGTAAATTAAATCAAGCTTCCCCCGCTTTTAGAAAACTCATGCAATATTTGCTAGATTGAACTGCAAATTCTCATGACTAGAATTTGTAGCAGGGAAAAAATACACACAAATGCTGGAGCCTGTTGTCGAGCTGCTGCATTTAAAATATATTTGAAGAGAGGGATTATTCCTTTAAAGAGGGAGAAGCCCACTACAAGTGCAAGAGCAACAGATGCACAAGGCTGCAACAGATGTGTAAATCAGCCCTCATGAATAAGTCAAAAATCCCCTTTTTTATTATGTCGAAACTTTGCCGTACAGATTAAACGTGCGACTATCCTGCTTCTCCACAAGCTGCAGTTACATGTGTTCAGATTTATATTTAGAGGCATAAACCATACATGCCTGAAAATGTTTTTATTTTATTTTGATAGTAAGCTGTTGTGCTCAGGACATCACCGGGCATCACTCAGTCTTAAGGCTTATCCATTACAGTAAAGAAACTCTGCCTTCTGGAGCAAACTGATGAGTCAATGGGAATTTGTTTTGTTGTTATAAACCTTTTGCTCCCTGTTGCCCTGAGGTCACAAAAACTCATTAAGGATATATAAATGGCCACGAGTGTTCAGTGAAAGCCCTGTCCGAGTAACTATCTCTGAGCATACATGTGGGAAATAAATAGAAAAGGACAAGCACATGTTTAAGCAGATTGCTGCTTTCTTCGACTTTTGCATGACAGAAAAGCATTCACAAACAAAATCCATTACTATTAGCTCTGCTCTTGGAAACAAATGAGCATGGAGCCATACAAAGCAGAGAGAAAGTGCTGCCTTACAACCAGTGCACATCAAGAGCTAATGATATTACTCACCCGGTTCTTTGTGGTCAGAGCTGTGGCCAGACAATAGGAAAAGGAAATCCTGACAGGTGTCCTGATCCAACGATGTGCTGTTGTGCAGGCAGAGGTCAACAATTAGGGTCACAGCTCTCTGACAGACCATGTCATACTCCTCTCTGTCAGAACTCATGCTCCCAGCTGCATCCTCAGCCGCGTGTGCTCATCCAAGGGGACCAATACTCCCACGCACACACGCAGCAGGCTGGCATGCAGAAGATAAATGCAACTTGTCTCCGTCCTAGGCTGATTCTTCTCCTTCTTCTGCCGTCTCTCGAATGTGTGTGCATGTTTTCTTGTGTGCGTGCATGCGTGTGCTTCACTTTCTTTGTGTGTTCATGTGTGTAAGCTTGTCCCAACATTGTGTGTGCGTGTGTGTAAGATGGACCAATATTTTTTAGTGCATAAACATTTGGTGTTTGTGCTGCTCCCCATGTGTGTGTGTAACTGTGTTTTGTAGACTTAATTAATCACATTTATCCCCATGTGTTATAAGCGCAGAATGATTGCATCACATTGACAGCAGGAAAGCAAGTCAAACAACAAACACTGATTTCAGTCAAACCTGCGTACTGTATACTATAAAATGTCAGAGCTTGATGACACCTTCAAGCCCCCTCACCTTTGGCTGTTATGCCACCACACATTCGTTGAGTGTGAACAGACTTTTAAAAAACCCACAAGACTTGGTTTTCTCAAGTTGTCTAACATGGCTGGTCCCTGCAGGTCAGAGACTCCCCTGACACGAATTTCCCCTGAGCTGAACCACCTGTAACTACCAGGTCTCCGTCCCACAGACAATCCCCTATCGGTTCAACTGTGATCCCTTAATGACCTGTAATGATGATGGTTCAGCTCTTTGTGAGTAAGCAGGGCTCCATATAATGTGTTCAAATGGTTACTTTACTGATACACACTCATGCACTGTTTATACTCTAAAATACAAACTCAAATAGCCAGCAGTTTATACAGCTAGAGTTTCAGCTGCCACCATGTTTGGAACCAGAAGTGATCATATTTATGTGGAGTGATGTGTTATCAGCGAAACTTCTACTGAGCTTGGTTAGCAAGATATCTATAAACTGTGCACAAAGCAGATACCAGTGGAGTAGTAACACAGTATTCATTTCACACTAAAAATTATACAAAACCGAAGCTCAAACTTTTGGACTTACTGTGCCTCTCAGCAAACAAAGTGTTTATTGTCATATGTACAGAAGAAATAGCATTTCTCTATGCAATGAAGTTCTTCCTTTGCTGTCCATACAGAAATGCCAAGTAAGGTAAGGGTTAAAAGAACATGATGAATAAAGATAAAAATAAGGATAAAAAATAATGGAAGATTAATAAGTACAAAAATAAGTAAGTCAAGACAAGTGAGGTATGCAGATGTCGATGTAGATGGATGTACAAAGGAGCTTAATGTGCAAAATGAACTTAGTGTGCAAAGTGTCCTGATGTGCAATCCAAGTTATCTGATCCAAGCTAATATTTCAATACTGAATAACTATAACTCAATAAATATCTAGTTGTGGATGAAAAATGTTTCCAAAATGAAATTGTGTTGACATCAGAGGCATACCATTGCCATTTGTTGCATACCCTTCGTGCATGTTTGGATGTCCTCCTTGGATGCTGGAGTCAAAACCCCTTGTCATGATCCTGGGTCTGCTGACCCAGCGTTTTGTGTTTAGTTTATGTAGCCTTCAGGTTTCCTAAGTTCATCGTTTTCATGCCTAGGTGTTTCTAGTTATTTTCCCCTCGTGTTTCCACCATGTTAAGTCTCCCCTGCTTTTCATGTATTTCATGTCTGTGGCTTATGTTGTCAAGTTCAGGTTGTCATGTCTATATCTCACTCTGTTTCCTGTTTTATTGTGAAGAGGTCTGGCGTTTCTGTGTTCATCGTGTTCAGTTTTACTCTCCCACTGTGACGTCATTATGTTCATGTGTGCCAGCTGTTTCCCCAGGTGTTGCCACTTCCCTCATTATCCTCCTGTGTCCATTTAGTCTGTGTGTTCTCAGTCATTCTTTGTCAGGTCGTCCGTTGTACTGCTCCATTGTTCCGCTCCGTTGTTCCTATGTCTCCGCTCCAGGTATCCCTGTCAGTTCGTTATGTTTAGAGTTTTGTATGTTTCGTTTTAGTTCACCCAGTTTAGGTCATTGTTTAGTTTTCATCGATTCCCTATTATTTTGTACCCTCATTTCTTGCCTTAATAAACGGCTTGTTTTGTTATTCATATCTCATTTCGGTCTGCGCTTGAGTCCTTCCCTGCAACATACGGTCTGCCCTAGCCAGACCGTGACACCCCTTTGAATAGAGAATGCTTGGCAGATTTATTAGACCATCTTTCTTAAAAACTATAAAAACACAAATATTTTAAAAATCTCTTAAATGCATGTTTTAACTGAAAACAAATTAATTCACCTTTTTATACTTTTTAGTCGAAAGTTAATCAAGCATAACATTCAACTACTCAATCAAATCCTTCTGTTCAGGAATTTGCATCTTATTTAAGACTATTTTTCTGCTTTTTGTAAAACAGAGTATTTGTAAATGCATGCATAACAACAATATTTTATTTTATCACTGAAAATATTGTGTTCATTACACTTTGTATATACTGATGGATTAATACAATACAATACAATTCAAGTTTATTTATATAGCACATTTAAAACCAAAGGTACACCAAAGCGCTTCACAGCAAGATTAAAACATCACAGATATCAGACCATAACAGGGAACAAATAAACTTACAAGGGAGAAACGCTAGTTAAACAATCAATACAGATAAAATAGGAAATAAAACATCTGAGCACTGAGTATTTGTAAATATAAGGTGGGGGTATTTATACAATGATACATAAAATAGAAGATAAATAACATAGGGATAAATATAGGGAATGAGCACAAACTAACCGAAAACACTTGCTCAAACAGGTAAGTCTTTAACTGTGATTTAAATGAATGGATGGAATCAGAGGCGCGAATAGCTGCAGGAAGACTGTTCCAGAGGTTAGGGGTTGCCAGGGCAAAAGCACGGTCACCTCTGGTCTTTAGCCGGGACCTAGGCTGCACTAGGAGTAATTGTCCTGATGATCTTAGGGCTCTCCTAGGGGTATACGGACTGAGGAGTTCAACGAGGTAGCACGGCGCAGTATTGCTCATGATTTTAAAGGTAAGCAACACAATTTTAAACTCAATGTGGTATTTGATAGGAAGCCAATGCAGGTCAGCAAGGACTGGGGTAAAAGAGGCAAACCTTCTGGTTCCAGTCAAAAGTTGTGCCGCAGCATTCTGGACAAGCTGCAGTCTATGAAGAAGGGCAGAGTGGAAACCAAAGTAAAGGGAATTACAGTAGTCTAATCTAGAGGTCACAAAAGCATGGATAAGCACGGAGTAGGACCTATCCGAAAGATACGATCTAAACCAGTTAAGGGCACTACCCCTTATGCCTACTGTATGTTCAAGCCTCATTAAGAGGATATTATGGTCCGCGATATTGAAGGCAGAAGTCAAGTGCAATAGAACTAAGACCGTAGAGCACCCTGAGTCAGCAAATAAAAAAAGGTCATTAAGGACTCTCAGCAGCACTGTGTCAGTGCTATGGCATAGTTTAAAGTCAGACTGGAATTTATCACTGATATTATTTGCATCCAAGCAGGCCTACATCTGCGAGAGGATTATCTTCTCCAATATTTTAGACAAGAATGGGAGTTTGTAAATTTGCAAGGTCCTTATGATCAAGGTTAATGTTTTTTAGGACGGGCTGTACTACTACATGTTACCAAATTAACATCACAGCATGTCTTTCATCCTGTCTTCCTTCTCTCACCCCAGCCAGTTGCAGCAGATGGCCCCGCCCCTCCCTGAGCCTGGTTCTGCCGAAGGTTTCTTCCTGTTAAAAGGGGGTTTTCCTTCCCACTGTCGCCAAAGTGCTTGCTCATAGGGGTCATATGATTGTTGGGTTTTTCTCTGTATGTATTATTGTAGGGTCTATCTTACAATATAAAGCTGTTGTTGTGATTTGGCGCTGTATACTTAAAATTGAATTGAATTAGAAACATAAAAAATTATTTCTTCAGTATAGCAGAACTGTTCATTTAGGGCAGCTGTGGTATAAATCTTACACTGGGTCGTAGTCTAATAAATATAAGCACTATATCCATGTTGAATGAAAGAAAAATATTCTCTCGTGAGAAGAATAGAGATTCTTAAAAAGGCAAAATTGTAACCTTCCTCAGAAATTAATCTTTTAGCCCAGTGAGGTGATTAAAAATCAGAAGCTGCACCATTTAGATGAGAGGCAAAGGCGTTGGAAGGCTAGGAAGTAAGTTAATCATATAACAGATGAGACGGAATTCACATGTAATGAAAATTACCTACATTAAAAAAAAAAAAAACATGCTTCTGGTTATAGTCTGGAGGGGATGTTATGTGGTTGTCTGATCATAACAGTAACCAAATACTTATCAGGAGACACAAATCCCTGAGAGGATTGCATCAGGAACACCATCTGGCAAAAAAATCTGATCAAATATGGTGCTCCAACTGCCTTGAAGGGAGCAGGCGAAAGAAGCGTAATCTACTGCAGAAATATGAACAGCGCTTTTTCCCCTGGAAGCAGCTCTGTGATTGGACCACTACATGGAAACAATGTCAATATCTGCTTGTCTACAGTACATTTGCCGTAAAAAATATAACAAGTTTGACCAGGAAGACAATATCTGCTTGACTCAGCCACTGTTTGTCAAGTAATTTTATTATAATGTTCTAAATGGCACCAACAATACCAATTAATCCAGTTCAGAGACTCAAATTAACAGAGGTAACGCCCATCAGACATGAAATGACTGCACCTGCTTCTGTTAAGACATGCGGAGATGTAATCAATCTCCTACTGATGAAGTTGTTAGCCTTTTTTGTTTGTTTGTAGCAGGTCATGCTTATTTCTGCAGACTGATTTCCTGAAGAACTGCAGTTTTGGGCACTTTGTTTAATTTTTCAGAAGGCTGATTGTTGTTCATGCGTTGCCAGTTTTTTGAGGTATAGAGTAGCATAATGTTCTGTAATTTTCTCCACCCTGGGTATATAAATAAAAGTAACACAAACCTCTGTCTTTATAATGCAAA